CTGTGTATTTCTCTCTTTTTCTTCGTCTTGTACTTGGCATATTGTCTGACGAAAATGTGCAATTCCGTTCCTGCAGCTGTTTCGAGAAGAAATTGAGGTAGGGCAAATACCGAAACCGTTGGACGGTAGATTTGTATCAGCTTTTACATATGATTCAATCCGAATAAGGCTTATTTGTGCAAAACAAAATTCATAGTAGAATAAAGTCAGATTCACTGTCGCAACCTTATGGCAATATGTCTGTATTTGCATTGATTTATCTATATCAACAGAGGTCAATTTCCTACATTCACATAATCAAATTTATAACATTTCCAGTCATGTTTGTAATAAATAGGTTGATAGCATTAATCTAAGATAGGTTTTAACGATTTTTGATAATCTAAATGTTGCGTATTATAATTATAATTGATAAAAGAAATTATATAAAGCATTGACTTTGAATGGTGTCTGTTACATTGTATTCCAAAAAGATTACCATCAATGTATCCGATATGACTATGTTTTATAGACATATTTACCTATTTGTGCACTAATTTCGTGTTGTGATAAGTTACTACTTTGAATAACAAATTACTTGAATAAAGAATGATTCATTTTTAGAATTATTCAAATAGTTCACCCATTCAGTAGATTTTTTTTGTATATTATGATACGAACAACCTAACAACATACCTTTTTACCATTTAATTAGATTTTCAAAGGCATGATACAATGTGGGCAATCCGGAATATTATTATACTACGAAATTCTTGTAAAAAAGCACGGTTAGAAGCTAGAGCCTCGTATTAACGCAACAGGATAAATTTTCGATAATTAGATAAAGAATAACGAAGAAAATACAAGTCATTTATCATCATTATACTTTGTAATATGAGTCCAGGAAACAAATAATGTCATCCAATATGATCAGTCATTTAAGTTTTTCAGGCTGTTGCTTCACAAATACGATAGGCGTCTCTTAATATATATTAATCTATATATTACATACCTATATTATATGATACTTATTATATACTTTATATATGCGCTTTCGTTAACATAATACACCATTTGTAACTATTCTTTTCTTCACCAAGCACGCAGAAAAGCAAGAAATGATAGGTCAAATAAAAAAATCATTCATTCAGAGTATATTTATTTACTGACAAATAAACGTAATTAAGCTTTAGGTAGAGAGTTCGAGTCCGAGTAAATAATCACTTATTTTAACATTATCTTAAGTACCCTACTTAATTACAGTCAGGAGTAGCAATTTGAAACAAGCATAGCTGACATGACTCACTTAAAACATGATTTTCTTTTTAAGTCAATCTGATAACGTATTGACAGACTGGATTGATGTATTATTTTATTGTTGGTATAAAGACTTATTTCTGCGAATTTGTGATCATAAAATATCTTAACATTTCAGTTTATCTCACTCAATTATGTCTAAAAGAAGACTCGTTAGTGTTTAATCGTATCTAAAATGTAAAAGACTTACAGTAAACCACTTTTTGTGAACATATCGTAAATCAATAGACATAATTATAAAACCTCAGTAGAATTAAATACCCTGTATAGAAGGATGCCTTGTGACAGAAAAGTTATTATATCTTAAGAACATTGTATCATAAAATTTGCAAATGAGTCCCAAACGTAATTCATTGCGTTGAAATAGGATAAAACAGACATATCTAAGTGTAACATTTGTATGTAATTGTTTGCAATACATTTAACTCAAGAATGACAAGTAAGAATACTGGTAATCTGTAAGTGTAAGCTTTAAGTGTCTTCAAATGTAATTAAGCGTTATTTCGTTTTTCTATTTGTAAAAATTACTAATAACTACAAATGTCACATCTTGCTGATCATTGTTTTTCTTCTTTTTTTATCAAAATTTTGAAGAAAAAAATGATTGAAAAAAATATTTTATCTAATGTAATTGAATGGTACGCAATAATGACAAATAATAATAATTAAAATAAAAGGAGCCGTCATATTTAATGCGGCATGATTTCATTTTTTCATTTTCAAAATAACTAATAATTAAAAATGTCACATCTTGTTCATGATTGTTTTGTTTCCAATTCGCATTAAGCTGAGAATAAAAGTATAGAAGTATTGTGGCTATATAACATGTCAAATGATAGTGTCAGTCTAATTTGTGTCAGTGTTTTAGTTGTGGGGTTATCTTAACAGACTTTTATAATTATTGTTCTTACTAATGGTTACTTATCTTTCAAAAACGAAGATAGTATATAAATAACACATGGGTTTGTGGGTAACAGTAAAAATATCATCCCGAGGAAAATACTGTTACCCGAACAATTACTGTGATGATCTGAATTTGTCAACTAAATCTAACTGTAACAAAACTAAGCCAAGAGAAGCAATAACTAAACTGTCCTTACCTTGCAAGTTTTAAGTGCACTGTTGGCCTACTTGAGAAGCTGTTTTTCTTTTATTCTTTAGGCAAGTGATGATATCTACCAGTCATAAACATAAAATAAGCTGTGTTTTATTCAGAAAACAAAACACTAACCCATTTATAAGGTTATGATCTGTGAAATCTGATCCTTCTGCATCCAGAATATTCTTCGCATGGTTTTTGACAAAGTGCATTTAGAAAATAACAATGATATCCTACAGATGTATGTCCACAAACTCTATCTGTAACGTTTTACAGGTTAAAATTGTTAAATTATCCTTTGTTGCATGCTTTTATTGTCTGCATGTTCCAGTTTGACAAAATTATTTACATTACAGTTACTTCCGTTGAAAACGGATGTTTCCTGTTGACTATTCAACAAAAAGATATTTAATACGCGAAAGGGACTCTAGGGTGCAAAGAACTAAATTTTATCAGAGTAATATACGAGTTACTTCGACGATGCCCTATAGTCGAAAATATGAATGAATCGAGAAAAAATGGCGGCCATTTCATTTCATTTTATTTAGAAAATAGACCACGTGACCAGATTTTATACTGTTAAAAATACTGTTACCTATGTAACAGTACAAAATTCGTAGTCACGTGGTACACTTGCATTAACAGTAAGAATAACTCCCAGAGGCCTATGGGAAACTAACATTACGAAAAAAGTGAGGGGTAATAATAAAATTTATTACCTGTAAAATGTGTGTAACAAACTATGGTAGTCTCATATAACTCCTTTAACTAGAATGTCCATTTGAAAGCATGTATTGTAAATTTCACTATATTTGTGTATTAGGTGTACATGACTGTGAATGAGACTCTTATAAACTAATCATTGGTCGGGTAAAGAATGACATTACTTTAAAAAGGAAACCAACCAGAATGTTAAACCAATATTTTATGTTACACATATTAAAAGGATTTCACTATCAACATTTTTTGTATCACTAATCCCTCTTGCAAAACGTTTGTATTCATAACGTATCCCTAATGCGAACATGTTCATATTAAGTAATTCTTAAACATTTTCCATATTGCTTTCTTTAAAAACAAAACTCTATCATAAAAAAGTACTAAATCTTCGACGTAAGTACTGATTCAAAATGTGTCTCTTTCGAAAAATTGTGATTCGCTCAAATGCTTAACAATAAATTTGAAATACGTATTTCACCAAGAAACCTTTTAGCAATGACCAGTATTGCATAATATTTGCAGTTTCCATTTAAGTTCAAAGATTATTTTACGGCATAAAAACTATATGCTTAATTAAATTTTGTATTTAAACTGAAATACAGTTCGGGATGATTATATCATTGCTACATAGTTCATGTTAAATTCAATATTATATTTTAGACAAACCAAACAAAATAAGTTATATGTTTAATTAGAGTTTGAATCATTCCAGTATATAATTGAAACTGAAATTTAGAAATGATCGACGACACCCTGAGGCTTTTAGTAAATTAACGGTTCATTGTGTTTTATTTTGAAACACTATTATATGACAAGATGTTTATTTAGACAGTTTGGTTTTCCATACAATTAATACTATTTACAGTATTATGGGCAGACATTTGCAAACCATCGGACACATAAATCTTCTGCAAAAAGTGTACAACGATTGACTGCAGTTATTTTATTGAACAGCTTTTTATGAGAAAACTCCAGCAGTGTTCAGCAACATTACGATACCTATATAATGTCTTTAAGAAAATTATATCAAATTAACATCGACTGAAAACAAATTAGTGTTAGCATTTACACTTGATTACTACCATGGCTACATTAACTATCAACATCATCCAAACGTTCAAAAAATGAACGAATTTATTGGTAATTAAAGATTTAATAAGATTTAAGTGAAGTTTATGTTTTGGGTTATCTATAGGTCGAATCAACAATTCATTTTTAGATAAAATACAGTTTACATAGCAAGCACGGCGTTCTGCTCTGAAGAGATAAACTGTATATTAATATAATGTGTTATATAAAAATCAATTTTCAGGGTCGCAAAAATAGATATTCTGCACCTGAAAAAAACGTGTGCAAGTAGGCCTAATAAACAATAACTGTCAGTGATAACAAATCATTGATAACACTTAGGCATGTTAACAACACGCAGAAATACAATAACAAAAAAAATTTGCGCAGATATTATGTTAAATTTGCATATTATATATATGTCTGAACCTTTCTCAGAAAACTTAGAAACGTGAAGTTTCAAATGTGCACTAGGAAATTCTCCAAGAGTCTCCATTATTGTATTACACTGTTTGTGGGTAGTCCTAGACAAAATAAATCAATACATGTACTTTGCTTACATTCCCCGTATACAGTATATCACCTACATATGTGTTTGGATAAACACATATGACATTCAATTTTCGTCCATTGATCAATATATGATTTATTCGCCTTTTAAATGTTTACGATTTATATACGTATGTTTCATTTAATCTATTTAAAGTTTAGCGAATTTTCATTTTGGACGGATGGTCACTAAAAATGGGCGAATCGTAATGGTGCGAAAAAAATGGGCGAATCGTAATGATCCGAATCTTCAGTGAGACGAATCGTTATTGACAATATGGCTGCCAAAACGAAAGTAGACTTTGGTGGTGAAAATAATGAACTATTGCAAGAGGCAGATTTTAAAGTATTGATGAAACATAAAACTGAATTTTTAGATTTAGTGACTTTTGTGGAAACCCAGAAGTTGGTCGCTATCACCATTTCCAATTGTAATGCAATGTATAATTATTCTTTCACAGACGCACAAGTTCAACGCAGAAGAAACATGGCGTTTGTTTTTTACAAGACGTTGTTTGAGATTGAAATATTAAAACATTTTTTCATGGAAGGGGTTTTACCTGATGGAATGGAAGCGCAAAAAAGAACAGCAGTGCTTACTTCCTTAAAATTTCTGGCGAAATACCTGACAGGTAGGCTAATATCATATATTTTTTTTTGGTTCAAGTCTGACTTGAAATTGAATCAAGAAAGTATAGATCTAGGGACTTATTTGGCAAATTAACTCACATATGTTTATATTTTATACACAGAGACTATCGAATGAGTGTAGGCACTATGCTGAACTTATTGAACAAGTAAAATTTGATATATAGCAAGTGTCATGGGCTGAGAAAAATGTGTAGCCTGACTGGGACTCGAACCCGGGACCATTCCGCATATTCCTTACTGTGGCTCTACTGACTGGCCGCATATATGCGGCTTCTTACACATAAGTGAACAGTTCTGAACCGTTAACTGTGACATACTCCTCTGCAATATTGAAATTGGTCCTTGAATTACAGATCAATGAAATTAAACTCTGAGCTACATTTTATATTCAGTCATCATGTCCCCCGCTTGTCATAGGGTGAGAAAAATGTGCAGCCTGACCAGGACTCGAACCGGGAACTCTTGGAATACTGTCCTGCAGCTTTACCGACTGAGCTATCTGGCCGCTTACACATATTCTCCCCTAATTATAGTGAACAGTACTGAACCCTTGGGCCTTTTCACTCAAAGATTTTTAACTTCAATGTATGCATGACAGCACATGACAAAATACTGACAGTATGTGGGTTATATAGAAAATATAGAGTAAGAGTATACCCAAAATAAAACTGTTTAATGTAGAAAGGTACTGGTTAGGGACCATCAACCGGACATTATTTGAACTTTTTTCCATGTAAATGTCTTTATTTAAAAGCTAGAGATTCAAAGATTGTACACCTAGGTTCCCCTCCTAACTAACAAACTGCTTTTTTTATTTATGTTTATGTTGACACTTAATTTGAGTCCTGTTGAGGAGGGTATACAAATTACCTAAATTATCAATCCTACAGTACCAGAATCATAAAAGGCCTTGTATTGAATGATAATAGGTAAAAAAATGAAAATAATAAAGGCTTTATTTAACGTGGCTACAATTTGCCAAAACTATTTTCCATATGTACTTCAAGACATGACACAAGTAGATGTATACAAAACAAAATTTAGTTAACCAAGTTCCAGATTTTATTTTTGGCCAGACTATACGAAGAATATGGAGAGCTGTCCTCACCCCCTCGTCGGAGTCCGCATCCAGATTTCAGATTAAAGTTTTAGTGCAGTAAAATATATTTCACTATAACTTTCATTTCTTATCAATGATCCAATGATATGTTAGATAACATTACTATACTTCTTAAAGTGAATATCATTTTAAACTTGAAATGGTCATTTTTTACTTTATTACATACCCATGGCAATATTAACAATGGTGTACAGTTGTGCATATTAGGGCTTCACGGGACGCAGAATTCTGCGTCCCTATACGCATAAATTTTGACATGTACGCATGTAAGTTATCCACTTGCATCCAAGTGTACGCACAAATATAATCCTAGACAATAGAAATTATTGTTTCTGACCCCATATGATTTTATCTCTTTCTTCTCAAAGCTCGCAAAATTCCAGTTAAAATCTAATACAGCGAGCAGAAAATGCTGGCATTTGTTCATTTCGGAAGTTAACATAATTGAAATCTACTGTGCATGCTATTGGCAAGTGCCCCTGCAGAAACTGATGACGTTTACTGTGCAAGCTACAGTAACTGATGAGGTTAACCATAAAATCTATTTTAGATAGCTGTTTTGGGTTTTTCTGTAGCTATATTAAGACAGACTTTTTACAATACTAGGCAATTACTATTGGTTAGCGTATCCAATGTCAATCTACTGGTTCGGCAAATGAATTTTGTATAACAAAAAAGGCTGTGGTTTTTGCAAACTTATTTTTATAGTGTTATAGAAATTAAGACACTAGGTATGTCAATTATCATTGATGTAATAAATATAATGGTTTCGGCAAACTTAATTTATGAGAGGTGCAAAGAGGTTTAGTCGGCCTTGTGTTTACATATGATATTTTTTAAAAACGCAACATATTTGTGTGTTTTCTAGTACAGCTAAAATATTAACAGATAATCATCAGAACAGTTTCCATTCTGTTAGTGTAATCACCTTATTCCACTCCAGCCACTCAAAGACTATATTTAAGCCTGGGAAATTGAACATAATATTATTGTAAAGGGCTATAATAAAAACCAAACTAATTTATTATAATAAAGTGATAACAGATATATTAAAAATCATGTACTACTCATGAAAACAGTACAATATACATGCATATCTCTTACAAGGTAAATAAATGATTTTGTGAATGAGCAAAACTGACTGGTCTTCATAGTCTTTTTCAGTGAATATAATTTTGAACCCCTAAAATATAGCCATGGACCCGGACATTTCTAGGCTGTGCATCCACTGGACCCCTAAAATATCAAAGAGATGTAAAACCCTGGCATATATTTTAGCATCACATCATTTTAGTTAAACATAGTGTAAAGTCACTTTTGGCACATCAATGAAAAATGAGTTCAGTCTTTTGGGTTCTGTATTCCAAGAAATTATTTCACACTTTTTAAGTAAGCATTTTTTGCAGAGGATACATTTCCATGAATTTAAGTAACCGCCAAAAAGTTGCATGTTAAAAAATTGTGAACATTTGTAGCTTCAACCGCATAGATTATCATTATGTCATTATGAAGTACTATGATGTAGCATGCATAACTTTTACTTATGCTTGACTGTCATACAGGTCTCAAGGGATATAAAGGCCAATCATCAAACAAGGGCTTATTTAACTTGACTTCATGATTTTAAATACAAATAAACATTATTATAAAATATTATTTTGCCCAAAGGCTGGCAATTGTTATAAATTTATTCAACTTGTTCAATAAATACACACATTCAGTATTCTCTATTTATCAAATTTGCTGCAGCTTTATTGTGTTGCCTCTACGGAGTAGTGGCGACAAATAAGGATTACTCCTTACAGTCGTCTGTCCATCCGTCCGTCAAAAATTTGTCCAGACTACTCCTCATAAACTACGGGTGCAATTTCATCCAAACTTTACAGGAATGATCAGTACCAAGTCTAGTTGTGCATATTGTCAGCATTTTCCAGTTCAATGATTTTTGTAAGAGTTATGGCCCTTTAATAATTTTTATTTTTAAAGTTTGTCCGGACTACTTCTCTTATACCACTAACGCAATTTCAATGAAACTTTACAGGATTGATCTGTAGCTCAAGTCCTTGCGCATATTGCATGGGTTTATCGGTTGAATGATTTTTGGCCGAGTTATGGCCCTTTGATAAAAAGGTGTTTTTTTCTGGGACTGTTGCAAGATACACAAAAGATTGTCCGGACCACTCCTCATAAACTACTGGTGCAATTTTATCCAAACTTTACGGGAATTATCAGTACCAAGTCTAGTTGTACACTGTCTGTCTGTCTGTCTGTCATAAAACTTGTCCGCACTACTCCTCATAAACTACTGGGGCAATTTCATCCTAACTTTACAGGAATTTATGTCCGCACTACTCTGATCACTTCTCCATCTGTCACAAAACTTGTCCCAACATGAAATTGGCCATCATGAGGTGACACATGTGATCACTGATTGCTCTTGTATTAATTGTTGTATATGTATTCATGTTATGCTTGAACTTAACATAATGCAGGCCCATACTTTGAAATTGAGTTATTCAAATAATCTTCAGATCTTTGACACACAGTCACCAATGAAGAGCTTTATAATTTTTTTTATGCCCCCTGGCATATAGTGATTGAACCGTCCGTCCGTCCGTCCGTTTGTCCATACGAGGTTAACCTAGAACGGCAAGTTGGATTTTTCTGAAGTTCTACCTATACCAATGGCTTCTAAGTTTACACACTTACTAATCAATACAAAGTACATGATCTGGGCAAGTTTCATAACTCTGGCTTTCATATTTACCAAGTTATTGCCCTTTTCAGCACTTAGAAAATGAATAATGGTTAACTCAAAAACGGCAAGTTGGAAATATCTTACGTTCTATTAACACTGATGGCTTTATAATTTCCACACTTACTAAACAATACAAAGCACATGATATTGCCGAGTTATATAACTGTGTCATCCATATTTCCAAGTTATTTCCCTTTTTTCACTTAATAGTTTTTTTTTTCACTTTTCACAAAATAGGGCCTTGTCTGGTTTACCTATTTCGGCAAGTTGGATTTATCTTAAATTTCTCCTAATTGGTTAATTTCTTTACTGATAGTAGGTGGATACCTTTGATGGTCCTCTAATTTTTTTGAGTAAGTGGTCTCTAGGGTAAAGGTCAAGGTCACTGGTTTGAAAAATAAATATAAACCTTTTTGCTCATACAGCCTTTATTTTTTTAGTTGATGTCTTAGTTTAATACAAACACCTCCTTCTTTTGGTGTAGTATTGGGTCATTTGGGTCAAGGTCAATGTTACCAATGTCAAGGTCACCAATGTTAAAAATAGATTTTTACATTTTAACAGGTGTATTGACCTTATTCTATAGACAGATGTTATTTATAATTGATAGAAACATAAACTTTGATGGAGTTAGTGGTCATTGGGTCAAGGTCACCAGTGCTAAAAATAGATTTTTACACATTTGCTCATACAGCCTTTAAAAAGTGACAGATATATTTTATATTTGGTAGGAAGATAACTTGCACGGTATTCATCCTATTGATTGGGGTAGGGATCAGTGGGTCAAGGTCACTTGTGCTAAAAATAGATTTTTACACTTTTGCCCATACAGCCTTTATTTATTGACAGTTGTATTTCATGTTTGGTAGGAAGATATTTTGCATGGTATTCTTCCTTTAGATGGAGTAAGGGGTCAGTTGGGTCAAGGTCACAAGTGCTAAAAATAGATTTTTACACTTTTGCCCATACAGCCTTTATTTATCGACAGTATTTTTCATATTTGGTAGGAAGATAACTTACATTGTATTCTTCTTTTGGATATAGTTAGGGGTCAGTTTGGTCAAGGTCACCAATGCTCAAAATAGATTTTTACACTTTTGCCCATAGTATTGCAGCCTTAATTTAATGACATGTATTTCATATTTGGAAGGAAGATAACTTGCATGAAGTTGAATATTTTTCAACTTCACTAGTCAGAGCAATGACTTGGCAACTTATATTTTTCACAATTACAAAATGCCATGGCTTTGTCAAGCTAAAAAACTTGTGATTATAATTTTTTGGTGATTTTTCTGTCCATAACTGAGTGAATGGGTAAACATTTTTTGAAGTATTGCTACTGACAAGAATCTGAGCCGGGGGCATTTGTGTTTAACAAACACGTTCTTGTTTCATTTGATAATTATAAAAATGAAAGCTTTGCTCTTGTTTGTGAATGGTTCTTGTTTGTGAATGGCTCTTGTTTGTGGTGGCTGTTTGTGGTGGCTCTTGTTTAAGAATAAAATTATTGTTGTTCATGATAAGTGATATATAGCATGATTGAACTTAAATTTGATTTTTCTTCCTTTTCAGACTATGATCATGACAAGGAAGTTTTGCAGAAATATTCTGATGGAAGTGTCAGTGAGGTTGAATGGGCAAGCATTCTTGCTGCCCATTTGCTTAAGAAACTTGCACCTAAGAGGAAAACAATTTTAAGTGATGATGGATATGCCAAGTTACAAGGCTGTCCCTGTAAATGTGGAACAATACTTGACTTTGGAGACACAAGTCTTGGTAAGGATAATTTTTTGACAGCATGCTAATTTAAGATAATGAAGGAGTAAAGTGGATTTATCATGTTAATAAGCTTTATTGCACATACAGCAGCAACTGAATTATGATATTGAAATTATTCTTTAAGTTGCACACTCATGTATACCACTATGATATTTTTATTAGTTTGATATTTAGCCATCTCATAATAGGCAGTTTCAGAGCAACAATTTGCTAGTTTCATTTTGAGCATAGAGATAGGCACAAAATGCATTTTTTGTCAAGCCAACTGCTCAATATTGAAAGCAATTTACATATTTACATTTAATGTTGTTTTTAGAGTGAAGGTTTTAAAGAAAAAGTTCTAGCTATGGCTACAGACATGTTATTGATCCCATTGGTATCCCCACCTCATTATTGAACCTTTTTTTTGGGTTGCCTGAGCTAGCTAAGAATGATAATACTAGGATCAATGAATGTCCACCAAATCATCTATATTTAGATCATGAACACGCTATCATTTACACTTTGGAAGCTACTGCTTAAGTCCAAATATCATAGGAATTTGTCAGAAATATTGTTAGATTGATTTTAGCTCAAGTTGTAAAATTGGTCGGTAAAAAATTAGGTTACAGTAACACTGTCCAAGTAATCCAAAAACAGTGTTAACACTCTAGATGTCACATTTTAGTCCAAATATCTTAGAATTATATCATCTTGCCTGGGATAAAAACTAGGTCACACAGCTGTTACAGAAAACCCTACTTAACACTTTAGAGGTAATATATTCTGGAAATTTATTTGAAACAATATTTTGTTGGTTTTTAGCAAATATTTGAATGGCTAAAATCTAGACCACAGAGCCCAATGAGGAACATTTGCACTACTTTAGATTAAGTTGAATTAAAGGCCCATTTATGATGCATCAGAAAATTTAATGCTTCTCAAAAATTTTCAATATATGGTTTCTTGTTATAGTTTTCAAGTACCTACTCATTTGCCAAATTCATGCAACTTTTGCATTTATGGTTCTGTTGGCAATAAGTATAATTACTGTTAATTAGTGTTTTGTATTGAAGTCAAATATTATTTTGTGACCTTCACAAAAACAAAACAGTTAACATGCCCTTATGATATTATACAAACACTATTAAACACGTTTGACATTTCTAAAGAGTAAAAATGAAATATTGATTACTGAGACATAATGTGCCTTTAAGCCTATAGATTTATTTTTATCATTCATAGTTAACAACATTTATTATGCATCCGCACAACAAAGTTGTAAGGGGGTAATACTGGAGTCAGGTTGGCCGCCTGGCCGTGTGTGGTTTTTCCTTGTCCGTCCAATAACTTAAGATTCCTTTGACCCACAGTCTGAATATTTGGTATTGTGATTGGTCATAATAAGTAGATGACCTCAAATGATTTTTAGGTCACCAGATTAAAGGTCAAGGTGACAGGCGCCTTGACTTCAAAAAGATGGTCCACCCAATAACTTAAGAATCCTTTGACCCACAGTCTTCATATTTGGCATGTAGGTTAGTCATGACCATTGATGACCCCTAAAGATTTTTAGGTCAAAGGTCAAGTTCATAGGGGCCTTTTCTTCAAATAGCTTGTCCTCTCTATTGCTTGAGAATGCTTTTGTCGACAGTTTTCATATTTATACCCCCGCACAACAAAGTTGTAAGGGGGGTATACTGGAATCAGCTTGTCCGTCCGTCCGTTGGCTGTCCGTCCGTCCGTCGGTTTTTTCTTGTCCGCCCAATAACTTAAGATTCCTTTGACCCTTAGTCTTCATATTTGGCATTGAGGTAAGTCATGATTAGTAGATGACCCCTATTGATTTTGAGGTCACTAGGTCAAAGGTCAAGGTCACAGGGGCCTTGACTTCTAAAAGCTTGTCCGCCCAATAACTTAAGATTCCTTTGACCTACAGTTGTCATATTTGGCATGGAGGTTAGTCATGATTAGTAGATTACCCCTAATTGATTTTGAGGTCACCAGGTCAAAGGTCAAGGTCACAGGGGCCTTGACTTCAAAAAGCTTGTCCGCCCAATAACTTAAGATTCCTTTGACCCATAGTCTTCATATTTGGCATTGAGGTTAGTCATGATTAGTAGATGACCCTTATTAATTTTGAGGTCACCAGGTCAAAGGTCAAGGTCTCAGGTGCCTTGACTTCAAAAAGCTTGTCAGCCCAATAACTTAAGATTCCTTTGACCCATAGTCTTCATATTTGGCATTGAGGTTAGTCATGATTAGTAGATGCCCCCTATTGACTTTGAGGTCACCAGGTCAAAGGTCAAGGTCACAGGGGCCTTGACTTCAAAAAGCTTGTCCGCCCAATAACTTAAGATTCCTTTGACCGACAGTCTTCATATTTGGAATGGAGGTCAGTCATGATTAGTGGATGACCCCTATTGATTTTGAGGTCACCAGGTCAAAGGTCAAGGTCACAGGGACTTTGACTTCAAAAAGTTTGTCTGCCTAATATCTTTAGATTCCTTTGACCCACAGTCTTCATATTTGGCATGGATGTTGATCATGATTAGTAGATGACCCCTTTTGATTTTGCGGTCACTGGATCAAAGGTCAAGGTCATATGGACTTTGACTTCAAAAAGTTTGTCCGCCCAATAACTTAAGATTCCTTTGACCCACAGTCTTCATATTTTGCATGGATGTTGATCATGACTATAAGGTGACCCCTATTGATTTTGAGATCACTGGGTCAAAGGTCAAGGTCACAGGGACCTTGACAAATAAAAAGCTTTTCTTCTCAATTGCTAAAGAATGTCCTGTCCGCAATGTATTGATTTTGACATTTTCACATTTGAAGCATGTAGAAACTAGAATACATAACTTAGCAATGCACTGGCTTAGTAACCTCAGATTTGGCAGGGAGGTTGTCCTTGAGCTTTAAATGGCCACTGTTGATTCTGACAAAGTGGTATGTGGGGGGGGGGTATTCTCGCCATGATAGTGGCAGTTTTAGTTGGTATTGAGGTTAGTTTTGAATAGTAGATGACCCCTACTGATTCTGATGTCACTAGGTTGAAGGTCAAGGTCACAGGGGCCTTGATAAGATAAAAGCTTGTTTATCCAATAATTTTAGATCGCTTAGACCCACAGTCTTTCTATTTGGCATGGACGATGGACATGACCATAAGATGACCCCTATTGATTTTGAGGTCACTGGGTCAAAGGTGAAGGTCATAGGGGCCTATACTTCAAAAACCTTGTCCACTCAATTGCTTTAGAATGCTTTGGTGGACAGTCTTCATATTTAGTATTGAGGTTGGTTATGACTAGCAGATGATCTCTATTGATTCTGAGGTCATTAGGTCAAGGTCAAGGTCAGAAAAGCCTTGAATTAAAAAAGCTTGTCGACGGAATAACTAAAGAATCCCTTGACCCACAGATTTCCTATCTGACATGTAGGTTAATCATGACCATAAGGTGACCCCTATAGATTTTAAGGTCATAGGTCAAGGTTTGAAGGGCCTTGACTAGATAAAGCTTGTCCGCCCAATAACTTAAGAATCCTTTTCCAGGTCACAGGAACTTTTACTACAATAATTTTGTCAGCTGAAATGCTTGATAATAATTGTCCATTTTGACATTTTCACATTTGAAGTATTTAAAAATGTTCTCGTGTATTCATCATAAAACATTCCAAGGCAAAGCTGCATGAATGGAGGGAGGGGTATTCAAGTCACGCAGTGGCAGTTCAGTTTTGAGGTCAATAGGTCAAAAGTAAAGGTCACTTTTATCTTTGCCACTAAAAACATGTAGGATACATAACTTAACAATGCACTGGCATACTATCCACAGATTTGACAGGGAGGTTGTCCTTAAGTTCTAAATGACCTTTGTTGATTCTGACAAAGTGGCATGCAGTCGTATTCATACCATGACAGTGGCAGTTCTAGTTGTTTCTTGTTATTAAGAGCCTAAAAAAGACAAAGAAATATAAGGGCCATTTTTGCCCTCTTTTTTATTGTTGAAGTTACTCTCCCACACAGATTAGGTCTAAAAATTGTCAACATATTTGTATACAGTTATTAGATATGTATAGAAGTAAAATTTGAAGTTTTCCTGAGATAACTGACCTTACGGTTGTTATGTTTCACTTGACACATATATAAACAACCCTTTTATTACACATGTTACAGATGTTTATTGGACCCCCTTTGTATAGGAGAGTAGCTTTAAAAGAATAGTGTTCATGTTTCACATATCAGTGATGCTAAATGTTTTATTTTTTTCAGGTAATCCTAGTGTTTGGCACGGGAGTGTAGACACTATTTGCAACGGTAATATCGTAATAGACATAGATCATACAACTACTGCTACAGAAATGAACATTTCAGTGGAAAAGGAGAGCAGAATTTCTCATCAACGTCAGATACTTGCTGAATCAATTGTTACAAGTTTTGCTATTAAAAGACCTGCTCCTTTGATTTCTATCTCAAGAAATCAGATACAGTTATTCATGTATATTCCAGATTCTGATATTCTTTTGGAAGGAGCACCTGTTATCCTTACTGTTGATAATCAGTTTCAATTAAAAGCGGTATTGTTTGTTTGGCTGCTTCTAAACTACAATGTTTTCAAAGAGGACTTAAGTAAAACAATAAGGAGTGGAATGCCAGTATCTAATTTCAAGACATTGGTGGGAGATAAGCTGGGATGTATGAATCTGATAAATTCAC